ACTGAAAACTGATAATATTTGGAAAGTGCAAAGAGATATTGAGAGATAGGATTTGATTCTCTCACAATTATGTTTAACACTAGAGAGATGGGATGACAAATTTCAGGTGGAAAGAACTTCGTGTGATCTGAAGAACTGAAGACACACTAGCAAGAGCATAACGGCAAATGAAGTGTAGGAATGGTATAACAGATTTTTAGTGCTATGCCGAACAAAACTACATGATTACAGGAGACATGCAATGAAACTGCTTGTGCTTACTCTCATGCTGAAATAACTACTTCTGTTTTCCAACCTGTTCTCTGACACTGCAGACTATATAATATTGTTGAGGGTATATTGCTGCCATCCGTTATTCTCGCCTAGTGAAATTCGAATATAATTGTACATAGTGTCTCAAAGAAATATTACAATATATTTATATATATATGTTTCAAAATATATTTAAAAAATTAATAAAAAAACCGTAACTATTGAATTTCATTGCTGTTTGCATTTAGCACCACAATTTACACATAAAAACGTATTTTATATCAAACATATAGACGCAAAATTCAATTTTGTTGTACAGAGTTATGAACATAGCTATATAGTTCAAAAACAATGTACTTCGTTCGTAATATTTTGATAAAAATTAATGAGCTTATTAATAATAATGATAAGCGAGCTTATAGGGAGCGAAATAATTAAAATGCTAAATAATGAAATGTAATACTTCCATTCAACAAAATTAAATGCATACAAAATTATTAAAAGAACGGGTTATTATGAAACTGAGCAAAAATTGTAAATACTTGTTCATGAAATATATCTTCGGTAGTTCTTAAATACTTTATCATAACTTTCATGAAAATTGAAGTTTTCAGCTTTTAAATAACAAAAGACTGTTTAGAAACTTGAGGATGAAAACCGATCATTTTTCGGAGGCTACTAAAATTCAGTTTGTCGGCTTATTCGCTAAGAATGAAAGTCTTTGAAATATTTTCAGATAACCTATACTTATTCCGGTAGCATCCTGTAAAAAGAAGCTTATTATGAATCCATAATACAAAATTTAGATCAGTCTGCAACCAAGGCTTTAAGTTCTCAAATGTACTTTGTCTTAGTATTATCAGCGCCGATTTTCCACCATTTTCAGCCTAGGAATACTTAGCTCTTACATCGCATTTTCTGACGGATGCTGTTAATTTTGTCTCATTTGCAAATACAATGTTTCCATACATTATTTACATATTTGAACATTAATAATAAAGAAACTCTCAAAGATGACCTGAGTGGACTCTTTGAAACCGTAATGTCTATGTTGAATGTATACAAGCGCATGTAGCCATGTAGCCATTCTGTTGTTATTAGCTAATCCAAAGGCCCCCAGAAAGTAGGCATCATTAGGAATATACTTGTAAGGTATATTTTAATTTTATAACAGTTATTTTAAGTTTATACCACTTTCCTATCTCTTCTCGCTCCAGCTTACAATTCCTTACCAGAATGAGTTTTTAGAATCGCCTTAAATGCAAATGAGAAGTAGAGTAGTATTTAAGTCAAGTTCAACTGACTTCACCAGAACAAGAAAGAGTTAGGATTCCTGAATAGCGCGCTTTTGCCTTTTGGATACGTCTCTCTAACAGTTACTACGTGCCTTCTGATAGCTTGCTTCGCTTGCTAATTTAATATTATGGGCCAACTAAAACTGTGTTAGTTAAATCTCTTTAATTAGTCATTCGTTAGTTCTCACATTTTGAGCCCAAGTGGAGGCTTTGCTGTACGCCCTGAGAAATGAGCCGACTGTATATCTTTATTTGGAGCAAATAAAGAGTAATTAACCCTTCTCGAGTTTACGTTTCTATTCTTGGACTTGAGCGATTACTCGCTTAGCTGTTCACTAGGTTCCTCAACACTTAGTAAAATAAAAGAGAGGAACACTACACACTAAATAACATTGACTATTGCCTTTCAAAAGACATAAATAAATTTTGAAGTGTTACTGAAAACTGATAATATTTGGAAAGTGCAAAGAGATATTGAGAGATAGGATTTGATTCTCTCACAATTATGTTTAACACTAGAGAGATGGGATGACAAATTTCAGGTGGAAAGAACTTCGTGTGATCTGAAGAACTGAAGACACACTAGCAAGAGCATAACGGCAAATGAAGTGTAGGAATGGTATAACAGATTTTTAGTGCTATGCCGAACAAAACTACATGATTACAGGAGACATGCAATGAAACTGCTTGTGCTTACTCTCATGCTGAAATAACTACTTCTGTTTTCCAACCCTGTTCTCTGACACTGCAGACTATATAATATTGTTGAGGGTATATTGCTGCCATCCGTTATTCTCGCCTAGTGAAATTCGAATATAATTGTACATAGTGTCTCAAAGAAATATTACAATATATTTGCATGTTAATAACAGAGAAACTAATAAAGATGTCCTGATAAGAAATTTCGTGTTTGAAGCTGCAGTGCGTAGGTTGACTGAACGCAAGAGCAGGTAAGCATTCATTTTTTTTCGCTCCATACAGCCCGCCAGGAGGCAGGCATCGGTATATACTGAATAGCAAAAGTGAGTATGTTTCTTTTTAAGAAATGTAAGTAAATTTTAAAGTTCTTTCGGGAAACTGAGAATGTGTGTGATGCGCAAAAATGGATGGAGAACAAACTTTCATATTCCGCCACAGTCAGGGATAACAATTACCTAAATGACGCAAGCATTTTTCTCGAGGAAATAACTGCAGGTGACAGGTGACAGGTGACGGAGGACGAGGGCGCTGATGTTTAACATAGGTAAACAGGCATATGCCCCGCGTCCTCCACTATCTAGTGGCAACAACTCCCTGGAGCCTCATCAGGCTGCCTCGGGAGTATATTTGAATCTTAATGAGAAAGTTACATGGCCATACAAAGGCGGTTGACATAGTCTACATTACGAGTGAAGTGTATGACATTTGAAAGTTTTAGGATTACAGTGGTTACAGGAAATCTAAGACATAATACACATAACAACATTGAATAACCTGAAACACATAACACCCATAACATTTAGACCATACAGTACACATAAAAACACTTAAATTACACAGAAGATACTCACCGACTACTAAGTAGAGTACTAATAATGCATTCATATGATGCTGTTAGAACATATAATGCTGGGCAGATGTAATACTATGTGACATATAAAAACGTGTAATAAAACTGGTAAGATCACAGGATGCAGAGCAGAGATAAAGCTGTGATACTAGTGAAAACACATGGTGCATGCCAGATATAAAGCACGCGTGTAACATTGCCAGATATAAAGCACGCGTGTATACTAATTAAAACACATGATGCAGGGCAGTTTTAAGACAGATAATAACATAAGTTGCAAATAATTATTAGCAATGGAACTTTTGGTGTTACATATGAAACAGATGGTAGTATATGAGTAAGTAATACCTATGAGGAGACAACTCATAGTGCATGAACCTAGGCTAACACATGATAGGAGTGTACATGATGCAGAGCAAATATGTTAATAGTATATTACACATTATACAGAGCAAATATTGAGCTAATTCAAAGACATGATGATTCAGGGCAACTATAATACTGATAAAAACACATGTCTTTGGGAAGATGTGGTGCTATTTAAAAGCACATGATGCAGGACAGAGATAATACTAATGAGAAATGATGCATGACGCATAAATAACTTATTGGCACACATGGTAAAGGGCATATGTTATTACTATTAATAGAAACTCATGATGCAAAGCAGAGATATAACAAATTGGAGCATATGATACAAATAAATATTAGGGTAGGTAAACAGTTGGTGTTAGAACATATGATAGTATGTGTGTAGTAATATTTTAATGAGACAACTCATAGTGCAGGAGCCTAGGCGAACACATGATAGAAACACTTTATGCAAAAGCAAGGTATGATGCTGGTATCTACACATGATGCAGAGCAAATATAGAGCTAATTAAAAAACGTGAAACATAGGGCAGATATAATACTAATAGAGATACATGAAAATACATTATGCAGTGCAGGTTTAAGTTCTAATGAACACGTATGATGCAGATCAGATATGAGAAGGAAAAAAAAAAGGCCACATGCCGCTGAGCAGGTATAAGTGCTATTAAAATCCATTTGATGCAGGACAGATATGATACTAATGAATATACATGATGCAGAACAGATAAATAGCTTATAGGCTCATATGGTACAGAGCATATATTGTACTAATAGGAACGCATGATGTAAAGTAGATGTAATACAAATGAAAATATTTAATGCAGATAAATATTTGGGGTAAACAGTTGGTGTTTCACATAATGCATATGATAGTATATGTGTAAAAAAAAAACTTATGATTAGACAACTCATAGTGCACGAACTTAGGCTGTCATACGATTGAAACACATAATGCAGTGCAAATATGATATTAATGTATATACATGATGCAGAACAAAGGAAATAACTGCAGGTGACCTAAAGAAAGAAGATGCGGTAGCTAAGAAATAATAATGTATGAAATATGGGGATGGCTTTCAAAACTTTCAATACATTCGCCACAAAGCCACGGATACGGAAGGAATATAATTGAAACTATCTATGCTTTCCTTCCCGCTGAAATCACATTTGCTGTACATTGTAGATATAACGAGAGAAATAGCGGTGATTTTGAACATATATAGCTTAAGATATGCGAGACCATAAAAAATTAAATATTTGTAATTATTTGTATCCCAGTTATCAACGTTCAAAGAATGTAAACATTATTTTAGAACTATCTATATACCTAGGCAGCTATAGCTGTCAGGAATTCCTGCCTGTTCGTGATATAACCCGCAATTATTAAAACATTTCACGTTTCTGCTACTAGTGTGAGTTATTTGGAAAACAATGTATAGTATTTTCAGTGTTAATTGTAAACATACTGCTACGTTATGAAAAAGTAATAGTATTTTCAGTGCAGTGAAATATCTGCCTCAGCTACTTACGTTCGAACCAACTTCAGTGTTGCTTCCACGCCAGTCAAACCGTCTCTTCCCATTTCCCATACTCTGCGTTTATCTCCATCGAACTGAGCTTCTAGGAAATATTCAGGGCTTCCTTCTTTTACTATAAGTCCTGTAAAAGACCAATTAACATAATAACTATTTTTACTTCTTGAACTTCTCAAAAGCTCTCACTGTGGTAATTAAGGCATTAAATTTATAACGCCGCGAATTTCTGTAGTTTGTTTCAGAAATTTTAGAAGATAACATAGGATGTCACAAATATCAGATTTTCCTAAAATGTTTTCTTGTTACTTTTTATTTCTATTATTACTGTTAGATTATATTTACACTTAAAACAATTTTTTTTGCTAATTTCTATTAGAATATATGCGAAAGTGTCTTGTAAAGTAATTCTATTCTAAAATCCAGACTAGGAGGCGGAATGCAATGTTTGAGAAAGACTGCAACTTTGGGGAAGGTGGATTTGCGTTCGACTGTGTGCTTCGCGTACCTGCCTGCAGCATTTTACAACGACAGGGAAAATTACAATATCGCGTAAGCCATTTAACCAGGAGTAAGTTCTGCTTCTGAAGGATTATGGATTACTGTCAATGTAAAAAACTGATATCTACTAGTTATTGATGATAATGATTTCTACTTCGCATATGAGACAAATTACCGAGTGAAGGTAGTTAGTTACCTACTGTATAATAATGATTTCTACTTCGCATATAAGACAAATTACCGAGTGAAGGTAGTTACCTAATGTATAATTTCTTTAAAGCCAGATTTCTGGAAAAATTTCACCAGCGAACAGTGAAGGGTAGCTTTGTCGAGTTCTTTTTAAATTTTAAGCTTGCATCACATCTGCGGACGCGAAACGCAATACACAACTTTTCCTAACATCACTCCAGAACTAGTCTGACTAGCAACTCAGCTGTATTTTAAAACGACGGCTAAAAATTTCGTTTGAAGATGTGTTTTCACGTAGAATCATAAAGAAGGAAAGATCAGGGATTCTAACTAAACTAGGGCTGTTCCCACTGGGGTTTATCTGAGCTAACGGAGTCAGTTCCATGTGTCGACTAGCTCCGCTATGCCTGCAGTTCAGATTTTTCAACTTGCTGCCCTATGGGGGAAAACTGATTTGGGCGTTCGGTCAGGTACGTCAGCTGTGTCCTTCATGGATCTTATAAGAAATAGACAACTTAAATGGCTTTTCTTCCTCTTCTGAAGCATTCTCGACTGTCACCTTGACCACACCCCGAGGGCATATTTCCCAAGTGCGCATCCGTGTAGCCACCGAGGGAGTGGTTTCTAGGATGGACCAATGGGTATCCAGTAATATTTCTGTCATGTCACATGACCTTTCCCGTGATTTAAGATTTAAGCAAGATGGTTGAAAATATTCTGCCATGCAATTTTCTGTACAAAATAATTAAAGCATCTTCGATTTCTTCTGAAACTTTTCATTGCGAAATTCGATCAAATATAAGCAATTGTGAAGATTTCACTACCTGGTTGAAAGAATTTGAAATAAATGCAAACAAATGTTGGATACTCAGCAAAAATATCCATGCGAAATATTACTTAATAAGTGGTAAATAAGATGAAGAAATAAATATGTGATTAACATGTGAGTCTAAATGCTATCTTTACATACGAGTCTAAATGCTATCTTTACATATGCATATGAGAAAAATATTTATACCAATTACATATGTAAATAGAAGTCAGGACTTTTTATTGCAGTCTATATGAAAACGATGTTCTAATAATCAATGCAGAATTTTATTGAAAGTGAACTTTACTAATTTGGATTCGTATACATTTATTGTGTTAAATTTCACATTTAAATACTGCTCACGCTTACATGCACTGTCTACACAAGAAATACTCATCAAACTGAATGAATTTATCTTATTCACAAAGAATATATTCAATTTATTCACATATTAACTCTTACTGTTAATAATGGATATAATCAGATAATACACAATATGTATTCTGAAACTTTAAAATTCAAAATAATGCAAGACTTGAAATAAGAAAACATTAGATTCCTTGTAACACTTCCAGCCCAAAAAATTATACACTTGAATTCTTTTAATCACCAGGTGTGAATAAATTCATAATATTCGAGGCTAATTGTAGCTTGAGTCATTTTCTCGATGTAAAGTACGATAATACGCCGTGAACATCAATCCAAATATTAATGTGTGATATAAATCGCGAAGAAATGTCAGCGATAGCGTGATAAAAATCGTAAAAGTGAAATGTCAGCGATTAATTAAACGCATGAAAGCAGTACGAGATTTTCTACTATTACGCCATACATTTATAACTTCGAAACAAATACCAATTGAAACGTAAACGCACAGGCTCGAAGATTTAGCTTCACAAAAGCAATAGAAGCTCATTGGTCAGTTTTCGAAACCCCTTCCTCAGTGGCTACGCTGATGTGCACTTGTGAAATATGCCACCCGGAGGAGTAGGGACGACTTGCAGAAACTTAAATGGTTGACTATTGCAGTGTGTATAATTGCCAAGAAAAAGTTGGTTGTAGCGCCTCATTTTGCAAATTAGAATTTTTAGATATTTTATTTTCGAAACTGAGATTGATTTTCAAAAATTTAGTATATTTATCAAGCATAATTAACGTTCCAAATAATTATAAAGCTTTATATCTTTTTTTAAGATTATAACAAAATATGCTAGAATATTCACCTATAATCTTTTTTTAAGATTATAGGTGAATATTATAGCATATTTTTTATAAAGGAGTTTTATTTCAATTATATTTCAAAATGCATCATTCAAAATGCACTTTTAACACCTTAATAATTTTTATACATTTAATTCTAAGGTCAAAATTATAAACTGTAATAATTGATTGTGCTAACATTTTATAATGATTATTTTTTCTAATTTAATTCTAGTTCTGCAAAAGAATTTTTTTATTTACTGCAAATTTAATTTATTAGTCCAAAGGGGCGGTTGACGAGAAAGGCTATTAGTTTCTAAACGGCATTTTGCTCTGTTTCATTATAAACGTCCATTTCCCTTTGCAAATTGTTGCCACCAAATATTATCGCCTTGTATTATATTAAAGACATTTAATAATGAATAATCTGCATGAATACATGTATGTTTCTTGCACTGTGAAAAAATGACGGTATCTAGAACTCATCAAATTTTGGAATAACGCAATCCTCTACCTCGAAGAGCCGAATTATGAATTTGTTTTAATCCATTTCATATATTTGTAAAACTTTAAAGAATTTTTGATTAAGAATTTCAACGAGTTCAAAGCGAGCAATGGCAACACTGTACGGAAAATAACATTTTTATCTTCAGCGCGGAAATTCTAAAGATATGCTGTTTTCAAATATTTTGTGATACTGCTGTTGAATTAAATTTTGTGTGGTGTGCGTGCGAAGAACATCATATTCAATAAATAGAGGTAACACAAAAAACTTTAAAAAAGTCGCTTTGGAGCGTAATGAAAATAAAATAAAATAAAATATGAGTTCTTCCAGATTTTATTTATTTATTTTCATTACGCTGAGAAAAGTTTATGCTCCGAATTTTAGGAATTATTAAAATAAATAATCATCTTATGATGTCAATAATTAATGATCAAATAAGTTATCGTCTTGTAATGTTATAATAATTTTAAAAAACACTGCCTGAAAATTCTCGTAAAATTTTTTTTAAATATATCAGAACTTATTAAATTTTACTTTATTTGTACTCAAAAGTAAGTTCATAAATTTTTTATTTAAAGCTTTTACTGTTTTACCAAAGTAAAGATGTTTATACAAGAATTACGTGTGAAAAGAATGCGCAAAATGCAGTAAAAATTGCTTTAAAGAGATATATTAAATCTTATTTGATAAAACTGTAACTTTCATAACCTCATCACTTATACTATCAGGTTCTGTGTTCCTCCTTACTTGCTTTGGGAACATTAAATGTCCTGACTCGGAACAGGGAGCTTACTAAAGCTATGTTCAATAAATTTGGGAAGTAGACAAAACACACAGGAAGGGATACGGAACCCTTTATTTTTCTCTCTTTACAATGATTTCCGGACTTCGGAATACAGAGACCAACCACTTGTGGTCTGAACGTAAGAATATAAAAATATTAACTAAACTCTAACTAAACTTAACTTTGGATTAATCAAACAAGTGCCTCTCCAAGATTGGCCGTATATTAGCAAAAAGCCG